TTTTTTTTATAATATAGTTACGTAGAATCGATAATAATTTATAAAAATGCAGATATTTTTCTATTTTCTTTTTGAAGAAACAAAATATAAAATAGTAAAGTCTGGGGACACCAATTGGTCATGTTTTTTAAGAACGACCCATATGCGTATTTAAAGCTTTATCTTAAGATTTTCATATTCGTAGGTTGCTAGGAGTGTTTTGGAAACTAGCGCGTATAGGAGAACGAAAGTCGCCGTATGTTGCTGTGGCGTGTGTGGTCATGGCAATATCCATTTTATTCTGGACGTGATAGAAAGTTTTTTATTCTTAAAATACGTTAAACGATTTTCTGTTTAGATATAAAATTGCATTTTTATAATTAAATGTTTTTAACGATAAGCAAACGTTGTATGGTCTAATAAATGTTATAAATATGCTAATGGTATTGCTTGTATAAAGCCTAATTCCAATCGAAATTCCATAAGTTTTGCAAGAGTCCCCGGAATTTTTATGCCGTATTTAACTGAAATTAAGAAAATCGAAATGGTGCTGAAGTATAGTTTTAAGCTAAAATTTATTTCAATTTCCTAGCTCTGTTCTTCATTGCTGTTTCTCAAGGCCCGCCCACATAGAGCTTTGTCCAAGGCGAATCTATCCGTTTTTCGCAAGTGCGTTTTTCATCATGTNTGCTTTGTTGGAATGTACATATAAACATATAGGGAATTTTGCGCTTAAAACTGCAGTTTCACTTTGTGTGCATTTTGGCGGTGGTTTATTTTCAGTTTTTGGCGGTGGTTTTTAAGCGATTTTCTATAAATTTTTTGTTCAAATGTAATTATGGTTAGCACAAAAATGCGCTTAAAAATTGCTTTAATATTTTTCTTTATCGGGCAGGTTCTGAAATTTACTTCTGAGTGAAGTTCAACCACTGTCCATTCGAATTCAAAGCCAACTTGACTCAAATTCACTCGGAAGTGAATTGCAGAACCTGCCGGTGTGCTTCGTCTTCATATTCATTGTTTACTTTTGATTAATTTCAAAGAAAATAACATGGCACCGAAATTACAAGCCTCAGCCAGAAAATTGCGGTTTTATTTTGCTTCATCTTGTCAGATCTTGTGTAGTTGGATAATGCTTGGTACCATACGAGTTTTTTCTTCATATGAAAAATTTGATTATGTTTGAAAAATTATATATGTAATAGGTGCATTCTTTTGCAACCGAGCTACAAAAGAACCATCGCTTAAATTGCGAAATACACGCATAGCAAAAGTGTTGTTAAGTGAAAAAACTGCTCTATTTTGAATTAATAATGGGAAAGTAGAGAGGGAAATTTTTGTTTCTTATATACGTGTTTTATATTTTAAATAAGTATATACATATATTACGCAAATACCTCGCATAATTACAAATTTAAATTGTTTTTTGTATCTTAATCCCATTAAACTAATCACAAGTTTCTTGCCAGCTACTAACAGGGTTGCTTAGGTAGCTAAAAGGAAATTTGACCCGAGTTGAGCGTTCATTTGCCGCTCGCTCTCAAAAAAATGCAGCTAATACAAGAAAAATAAAAAATTAGGCAAGGTGCACATCCATCCCTCTAAAAATGTGGTTACCAACACTGAAGTGGAGCAAGTGTGAATGGGTCTTTCTTTCCTCTGCATTTATTTTGACGTTCGTAGCTAAACAAAAAAACAAAATGTCAGATGTAGGCACGTCATTCTACAACGAATAATTGTTTCTATTTGACTATTATTAAATTATTAATTTATGGAGGCATAAAAATCTAAAATGGTGAGTAAAACTTGAGTTATCAATTTAAGTACATAAACGTCATACATAACTTATTCGCTGCTTGCAGAGTGCACTTTTCAATTTTCAAAGTTTGTTATCAGTGATCCTGCTGCTCATATGCACTTGTGCATATTTGCGTTCCCTCTTCCCTAGTATAATGGACCGAAATAAGACGGGGTAAGTTTTGCTTGTANTAAGCTAAAATTTATTTCAATTTCCTAGCTCTGTTCTTCATTGCTGTTTCTCAAGGCCCGCCCACATAGAGCTTTGTCCAAGGCGAATCTATCCGTTTTTCGCAAGTGCGTTTTTCATCATGTTTACGAAATCGGTTCATAAATACAACTTTTATAAATAACTCGCCTCCCGCGCCCCCTAGCGGATCTGTTTTGGCAAACGTGTTTGCCATCATGCTGGTAGCTTACATTTTAAATTTAAAAGAAATCGGTTCATAAATACGATTTTTATAAATAACTCGACCCCAGCGCCACCTACCGAGTTTTCTGGTAGCCTATAATAGGACCATATATGCAAGGTATAATCTCTGAAAATTTGACTGAAATCTATGCAGTAGTTCTTGAGTTAACTCAGAACAACGAAAACGGCTATTGTTATGTATATAGATAGACCTGTATATAAGAAACGCGATTCCTCGTGACTGTCTTTCAAGAGCTCAGTGTGCTTACTGCAAGAAAAGGTCGGTGAATACCGCCCTGAACACATTGGTAATGTGGTCAGAGGAAGCCTTCACGCATGAAGATTATGCAGTAGCGAAAATGGTTAAGCAGACGACATCAACGACGGAATTCCCATTTATATGAAGAAGTCATGAACGACTTCCATACAAACGGAGCCCAAAGTCATTTAAGACGTAACTTTTCCGTACAAGATTCTTAAGTGACTAATGCATGACATTCGCTACGTGGTTTCTTCGATATCGAAGGTGCATTCAACAATGCCACTCCAGAGGCAATAGTCAAGTATATTCATAATCTAGGGGTTGAAACCAACCTAATAAGGGTTATCTACAGCTTACTTCGTGACAAAACTGTTGTGGCGGAGTGGGTGAGCGTCAATAGGAGCTCTGGACTGCGGTTGTAAATGACCTTCTAGAGGAACTGGAAAAAGTGGGCTGTCGGGTGATCGTCTATGTAGATGATGTGGAAATTTTGGTTAAGGGACGATTTCTATACACCCTTTTCGATCTGGCTTAAGGTTACCTGAATCAGGTAACTAGATGGGCGAGCAACGGCGGTTGTCGTGGAAGTCTAACATTGAGGAAAGGGTAGCAAAGGTGTCGGTTGCCGCGTACTGCTGCAGGGAAGATATTGGTAAAATTAAAATAAATTCATTAGCTCTAGGAAACCAGATTTAAGCCTATAATGTTTCAAGGAGCCCTTGTCAGGTGGAACTCACTGGAGAAGGCTACACTTGTAAAACAGGAATTAGCGGAGCATTGGGAAGCACACCTACATTGTCGCTTAACATGTGTACATATGTTGAGAACGGCGCCTGTGGATATTGCAGACAGAATTGTCGCAACACGAACTGCTTTTAGGCTAAGGAAAACCGGGTCCTTTTGTGACATAAAAAATGAAAAGAAGACGTTTTTCTGCTGCAGAAAATATTTTTATAGGCCACTTTAAAACACGTTACCTCTCAAGGGCTAGTGGGGGTTCTGACAGGCCATTGTGCGATTGGTATGCATTCGGAGAACCTAGGAGTTCCTTTGGTATCAGCTGTCAAGCGGCAGATGAAGTGGCATCATCACCACACTTTCTTTTAGACTGTCCAACCTTCGCGAGGCTAAGATGGAAGCATTTTGGCTCGCAATTCTGAACAGCTCAGCGATCGAGCATTCAAAATTTCGTAATCGGCTCGCGGCGTTAACTTAACCCTACCTAAGCTGTACTTCTTTGAGATATGACATAGTTGGTCTCATTACGTATTAGTAACTTTTTCCATGTTAAAGTTTGAATTTTTTGACCTTATCTCATCAATTACAATTACTGAGGAATGTAATTGTAATTGTAATGTGATTGCATTTACCCAGCTCTGAGTGTTAGTTCCAAAAACAACGGAGTTACATGCCACTTTTTAAAAAGCCCACCTGTAAAATAAAAAATTTGTTGATTAGAGCCTCTATGAATTAAGGTAAAGATATATAAGTGTATGAAAATTTGTATCTTTTAAGTTTAACTAACGTGTAAAATTAATTGTTGTAACATTACAAAAAC